TGCCTTTGGACGAGGATTAGTGTTTGCTAGACACCTTGTTAACAGTCTAACTCAGCTCACCAATATTCATCCTCCGATCTTGCTAAATGTATCAAACAAACTCAATGTCAGGAAAACAAAGAAGCCAGAGCACACACCTGACAGATTCAGTTTTAATGTTCTGAACAATCTTCATGTTGGAAATCCAACGCTAACATTTCAGGGCATGCTCCATGGGCTCTGCATGCCAAGTCCATGGACATTGGAATCCAACATATGCCAGCCTATAGGAACCCTCATGATCTCTGATCCACTTACAATATGCTTCTGCACTTCAATACTGCACCTCGGCTGCACCAGCAACAATCATTGTCATGCTGCAGCAAAATCACTCTGTGTCCAAGGACACACTCACAGTTTACTATTCGCAACAAGCAAGAAATTGACTGTACCAAACCATACTGCACTTGCAAAACACACAACACATTGTCCAACATTGGATATGATTCTGCAATTGAACATTTGCTGCATAATCCTGTCTGCAAAGAAATGCACTGACAACCAATTTAGGATTGTCATTCAGATGGGTCATTTGCATATACTAAAGCTATCTATATCGATACCAAGGATTCTGTTATTTGCAGACAGAAAAAACATATGCATGCATCACACCTGTTTCAACTCAATATAATAGATGACTACCATTCGATGGTTTATTTCTCAGGAAAGTACCCTGAGTAATCAAAGTCATCTTGCCTATTTTGAAACCTAAACAAATCTGGACATTAACAATCAATCATCATGAACAGCTGCATTCTTCATGGTAATGTGTCAACCAATTAGAGTGCACTGATCAACACTCTCATCTCATCCAATATAAATGTTGGGTTTCCCTTTTATTTTTATTCTTGTAAATGGTCTTAATGAGAACAAGATGAAAAGCTTTGACAATTTGTGTCTTTTATCAGTAATACTCAAATACTGTACTACCAAATAAGTATTTGAATTTATGTGAAATCGTTTTAGAGTCAACAGTGCACACACTGGTCATGACTCCCTATTTTAGCAATCTCCTGGAGCCCACACTCTTGTCAAAATATTTGTGCTCCTTTAATTATGGTATCTTGAGATTTCTGATTCTTTTTATTTGTTCACGGGATGTGGTGTTACTAGTTAGGCCAGCATTTATTGCCCACCTGTAATGACCTAGAGGGATTTTCATCATCCCATCCTTGACAGCAATACCTTTGATTACCTAGGCCCTATGGTCCGAAATTCTGTCTCTCCAATTCATATCCCTTTAAGACACTCTGAAAAACATTATTTTTTAATCAAGCTGGATGTCTTCTGTTCTATGTCACAGTGTAGTTTTAATTTGTAATGTTCCTATGAAGCACTTTGGGTCATTTTGTAATATTAAAGGCCCTATACAAATGTAAGTTGCCTTTAATTTTCCCTGATTTCTGGTCATAATCCTCTATGCTACATTCAAAAGACAATCTTTTATGTCCTCATTTAAATATAGCTCTGTGAATGTTTGACTAAGTAACTAAAACGGTCAAATGTAAAGAAGTTGTAATAGAGATATGTGTATTACAATCAGGCAGCTTTTGCGAGATTTTCTTCAATGCACTTTAGGGATGAAGTAAAAGAGTTGCTGGTTTCAAGCAGAACAATATTGATTAGAGTTGACTGGAAACTAATTTTCTATCTGCTCTAGTCCTCCAGCCTGGATTTGCATATCTCTCTTTCAATTTTAAGGACTCTGTAGCACAAACAAAAATCTGTTGCAGAGTTTGCACATGCTGCCATAAACATGAAGAGTAGTTATGACCAGTATGTGCACTGTTGACCCTAAAAGGATTTCACATAAATTGAATGGTTCTTTGGTTTGCATGGTAATGGTGGGATCAGCAGGATGCATGACTTAGGTGCCTGCTGCTTGCTACAAGTTTTAATGATGATTGATTGACGGATGAGTCGCAGGTACTGATGGTGTTTGTTTTATTTTTATAGAATCCCTACAGTGTGGAAACAGGCTCTACACTGTGGAAACAGGCCCTTCAGCCCAACAAGTCCACACCGACCCTCAGAGCATCCCACCCAGACCCATTCCCCAAACCCACCCAATCTACACATCCCTGAACACTATGGGCAACTTAGCATGGCCAATCCACCTAACCTGCACATCTTTGGACTGTGGGAGGAAACCAGAGCACCCGGAGGAGACCCACGCAGACACGGGGAGAATGTGCAAACTCCACTCAGACAGTTGCCCAAGAGGGAATCGAACCCGGGCCACTAGCGCTGTGAGGCAGCAGCGCTTGTCGTCCTATCAGATAAAAATCCCCCTTTTTAATAGAGACTACACTCATAACAAGAAGGAACAATTTAAGAACCATAAGACACTGCAGCAGAAGTAGGCTCTTCAGCCCATCAAGTCTGCTTGTCATTGTATAAAATCATGGCTGATCTGATAATCCTTGACTCCACTCTTTTGCCTTTTCCCAATAACACTTGATTTTCTCACTGATTAAAATTCTGTCCATCTAGGCCTTGAATATACTTCATGAACCAACCTTGACAACCCTCTGCAGTGAAGAATTTCACAGTTTTGTCACAATCTGGGAGAAGAATTTCCTTAACATTTCTGTCTTAGATACTGTCTAATTCTGGATAATGCCCTCTGGTCATAGACTCTACCACAAGGAGAAACAACATCTCTATATCTACCCTGTCAAGTCCCCTAAGAATCTTGCATGTTTCAATCAGATTGCCTTTCATTCTTGTAAATTCCAATGAGTACAGACTCAATTTACACAACCTCTCCTCATAAGACAGTCCCTCCATACCTGGAATCAGCCCAGAGAGCCTTCTCTGAACTGCCTCCAATGTCAGTTTATCTTTCCTTACATCAGAGGCCCAGAATTGTTCACAGTATTCCAGCTGTGATTTTTTTAGATATTTTAGATTTCTTCATTCTCAGCTTCAGTATTTAGATGTATATCACATTTCTTCTGACTTTGCTTCCAATAACTTTCATCTGCTTTTAGCAGTGTGTTCCACAGCAAGTTTCTTGGTTGTAGTCTTCCAAAGTTGCTAGATTCTCTAAGATCCTAGCAGGTTAGGAAACTGTAAAAAAAATCATCTCGATTCAAGAAGGGAGAAAGACAGGAAGTGGAAACTTATAGGCCGGTTAGCCTAACATCTGTCACCAAAAAAATGCTAGAGTTCTTGATTCAGAAGAGAACAGCAGCACATTGAGAAAATCATGACACAATCAGGATGAGTCAGCATGGTTTTTTTGAAAGACAGATCAAGTTTCACTGTTTTATCAGAGTCACCTTAAAATTATGTCCCCTTGTTACTTACCCTTCAAGTAAGAGGAAAAACTGCTTTCTATCCACCCTCTCCATTCCCTTCATAATCTTATACACTTCAATCAGGTCCCTCTTTTCTGCTCTAAAGAAAACAACACAAGCTTATCCAGAGATAGTAAGAACTACTGATGCTGGAGTCAGAGATAATGCAGTATGGAGCTGGAGGAACACAACAGGTCAGGCAGCATCAGAGGAGCAGGAAAGTTGATGTTTCAGGTCGGGACCCCTTGAAACATCAGCTTTCCTGCTCCTCTGATGCTGCCTGGCCTACTGTGTTCCTCCAGCACCACAATGTGTTATCTACAAGCTTATCCAGCCTGTCTTCATGGCTAAAATGCTCCATCACAAGCAACATCCCGGTGAAACTCCTCTGCAGTCCCTCCAGTGCAATCATATCCTTACTGTAATGCAGTGATCAGAACTGTACGCAGTACTCCAGCTGTGGCCTAACCAAAGTTTTATACAGCTCAAACATAACCTCCATGCTCTTATAATCTATGTCATGACTGAGAAAGACAGATCAAGCCTTTGTTTCGCTGTTTGTGTTATTATCTTTCCAACTGTTTTTTTTCCTATTGTGTAATAAACTCACATTCCGTTGTTTGAATATCTGCAGCCTTGCGTGAACATGTTTGAGTGACTATGCACCATGGTAACCAACTGCAAAAATTAAACATGTCTAGGCAGATTTTTCACTGGCCAGACAGTTGTTACATAAGTGTAGCTTTGAATTGTGCATGGGCACCGTACGGAATCCACATTGTAGCATACTCCAAAGGAATTACCTGGGAAATTGAATGTTGCACTTGAATTCCATTACACCTGGAGTCCATTGAAAGTCTCCATCAATATTACAGACTTTGAATGGTATGAATTTAAATAAAATAACTACTCAGAAAAAATTAGACTATTAAATACATAGTCTAGCTCTGAGTAACTATTAAACTGACCTCACAATGATCTCATTCACATCTCCCTTACACACCAAGATTCTGACCTGACACTCGCAAGGGATCCAACACCCCTGTCCTGGGACCGAACATCCACCCTTTCGTCACTGCTCAGGACTGATTAACACCGCCCCCAGCCCCTGGCTATGAAATACCCGACAACCACCCCACTGCCACCTCAACCCCAAGCCCAGGACCTGCCATTACCCAGACAGCCATAACTGACATCCCCACCCCGATCTGCACCTGAACAACCCCTCTGCTGGAACCATCCTCCAGGACTCCTGCTGGACACTCCAAGACCGTTGCAGAACCAGACACAAACTCCTCTGAAATGCTGCCACTGGACCCATTCTCCTCCCTAGCCGCCAATAGCACCACTATTGAACTCGACACTATGCCAGACCAAACCCAACTCCAAACCCTATGCAGTCTCCATAGGCACGTTACCCATACAGCACACTACTTACCTACCACCATACTCCCGACCATCTACACCATTCACTTGGCATACCTGGCACCTTACTATCCCATTCAGCTGGCAACACCAACCTCCCAACAACCTAACATCACACTTACCTTACAATTGTCCTTTGACTTCAGCTGTCAAAGTCACAGTCTGGACCTTTAATTTTCAAATTAAGCTGGTGTGCCTTCCTCTGAAAGTTCCACGTTACAACAGAACTCCCAGGATTAAAGTATGCCTTCAATTTTCTGAGGAAAATCAGAGCAGAATCTCCTCTCAGAAATGTGGAGCTCTCTTCTTCCGTAAAAAGAAGAAGGGCCAGAGTGGCAACTGTGTGAGTTTGTCACTCACCAGAAAATCTGGCCCATGAGATTACCTTCTGGGTATGACATGGCCAGTCTTACTATCATTGTCACAACATAATGGGTACTCTTGCAGGATTTGAGTTCATTGAATTTAAGACAAATCTGTTTCTTTTCAAGAAATGTAGAAGTGGAAGTACTAGCCATTAAACAGGAATGTTGTGGTGAAGTTTATTGTACAAAATAGACTTTCAAAATGGTTTTGAATGTTGCTAAGATTTTTCTGGAAGTAACAGACATATCAGTAGATTATACGAAACATTTGACTAAGGCTCAACCAAGAGAGTTAATACACAAGTAGGAGGTAGAAATGAAGTCAGGATTTCATAGAGATAAGATGCTCAAAGTAATTACCCAGCATTCAGAACTAAAAGGAGTGAAACCTGAACTTGATGCGTCATTGTTTGAATTAGCTAGGATTCAGCTAGAAATCGAAAGAAATTATTTTGAGAGAAAAAGAAAAATGAAAAGACTTGAATTGGACAAGACAAAGAGAAGAAAATGAAAATAGAAAGTGAGGGGAAATAAGGGAAAAGTGAATTGGAAATAAGGAAACCTGAATTAGAGAGAGCCTAAGGGAAAAAAGAAAAATGGAAAGAGAAGTGCAATTATAAAATGTTGAACTCTAAAGAGATTAGGAACCGAGACAAAATGAATTGGAGAGAAAGAAGTTAAGAATAAAGGAAAAAACAAAGATGAATGGAAGGACAAGTGAGAGGAGGCAGGGAGGGGGTAGAAGGACTTGGATAGGCAAGGAGGATGGACAAAGATGTGGCAGATGGAATACCAAGTGGGAAAGTGTGATGTTATGCACTTTGATAGGAAGAATAAAGATGTAGACTATTTTCTAAATGGGGACAGGCTTCAGAAATCTGAAGTACAAAGGGAAATAGGAGTCCATGTTCAGGACTCTCTTCAGGTTAACATGCAAACTCAGTTGACAGTTAGAAAGCCAAATGCAATGTTAGCATTTCTGTCAAGTGGGCTAGAATACAAGAGCAGAGATGTACTGCTGAAGCTGAATAAGGCTCTGGTCAGACTGTTTTTTGGAATATTGTGAGGAATTTGGGCCCTGTAGCTAAGGAAGGACATGCTGGCATTGGAGGGGGTCCAGAAGAGGTTTACAAGAATGATCCCAAGGATGAGGAGCTTGTCATATGAGGAGCAGTTGAGGGCGCTGGGTCTCGATTCGATGGAGTTTGGAAAGATGAGGGGGAATCGGATTGAAACCCTGCAAAATACTGAGAGGCCTGGATACAATGGATGTGGAGAAGCTGTTTCCATTGACAGAGAATAGGCACAGCCTCAGAGCAATAGGATGGTATTTTAGAACCGAGATGAGGAGGAATTTCTTCAGCCAGAGGGTGGTTAATCTGTAGAACTCATTGCCAAAGCGCATGGATTGTAAACAGGTTCCATTCTGAAGTCTGTTCGCAAGTCCATTTGTACCCAAGTCAGAACACAATACAGTTCGATGTACAGCAGAGATAACAAGGTGTAGAGCTGGATGAACGCAGCAGGCCAAGCAGCATCAGAGGAGCAGGAAGGCTGACGTTTCGGGCCTAGACCCTTCTTCAGAAAATAGAAATTCAGAAAATTTTCTGAAGAAGGGCCTAGGCCCGAAACATCAGCCTTCCTGCTCCTCTGATGCTGCTTGGCCTGCTGTGTTCATCCAGCTCTACACCTTGTTACCTCAGATTCTCCAGCATCTGCAGTTCCTACTATCGATGTAGAGCAGCTGTTCATAAGTACAAGAAATATCCAGATGCCAGGTCTTTAAAATTAAACCCCTGTATGGGATCGAATTTTTAAGTTCGAGCTGTCATGAGTTGGGCCTTCATAAATCAGGTACTCTCTATTTTGGAGAAACTCCAAATAGCAATGAAACCTGCGCCTTTGATTTTGATAGCAGCTTTTGAAGAACCATTTAGCAGGGCTTCGGCAGCAGGGCAGCGTAGGACTCCAACCTAAAACTAAAACTGAATCAGAATCTTTTAATAATTATGGATATTTTGACAAGATTTCCTGAAGCACTGTCTATGGGAAAGATTATGGCAAAAATGGTTGCAGAACAGTTAGTTCAAATTCCAATAGTTGCCCCATCACTGTGGTTAGGCTGACTGGCCAATAGCTTACTGGTACATCCTTTCCTCCCTTCTTGATTAACTGTATCAAATTGGCTGTCCTCCAGTCCTCAGACACCTCTCCTGTGACCAGACAGGAATTTGAAAATTATTGCCAGCCCCCTGCTACTTACTTCCTCCCTTACCTCACTTAGTATCCAGCCTGGAGGTTTGTCTACTTTTAAGTCTTCCAGACCACTCAGAATCTTCTCTCTGTTTGGCTTGCCAGGTTCATTCAGTTCCGTACCTTATTACAGTATTTATCTAGACACAAGAGGTGAACTCCAGAGGTGAAGAAAATCTGAGTACACTTAACGTCAATGTGGGGTTTCAGCAGTTATGGTATCAAGGAGCCCTAGAAAAATACAGTCAGTGGGAATGCGGGGAAAACTGTCTGCACAGAGACACACCTACGTTGGTTATGAATCGTGGAGGTCAATAGTTTCAGTCCAAGAAGCACTGCTGTGTTCCTCAGAGTAGGGTCATAGGCCAACCATAGCTGCTTCATCAATGATTTCCCTCCTTTATAAGGTTAAAAGTGGGGATGGCTGCCGATGATTGCACAACATTCAGCATCATTCAGAATCCTCAGATACTGAAACAGTCCATGGCCAAATGCAGTAAGTCCTGGACTACAACCAGGATTGGCTTGAGAGGTGGCAAGTACCGATCCTACCGCATAAATGCCAGGTAATGACTATCTCCAACATGTGAGAATCTAACCAGCACCCTTTTACATTTGATGACCTGAATTTCCTATTATCAACATTCTGGGGTTATCATTGACGAGAAACTGAACTGAACCACTCATATAAATACTGTGTCTACAAGAACAGGTCAGAGGCTGGGAAACCTGCAGTGTGTAACTCACCTCCTGGCCGACAATGTATATCCACTATCTACAAAGCATAATCAGGGGTATGATGTAATACTCTCCATTTTCTATGATGGGTGCAATTCCAACAACACTCAAGAACTTAAGAAACTTGACACATCCAGGGTAAAGTTTTACGCTTGATTGGCATCCCATTAACCACATTCAGCATTTGTTCTTTTCACCACCATTTACAATGGCTGAGGTGTTTACAATCTACAAGATGCGCTGCAGTAACACACCCAGACTTCTCCAACAGCACCTTCCACATCCATAAACTTTATCATTTAGGAGAATGGCAGCAAATACAGGTGACAGCCACCACCACATTACCCTCCAAGCCATGGACCATCCTCACTTGGAACTGTATCACCATTCCTTCACTGTCTTGAGTCAAAATCCTGAAACTCCCTTCCTAATAGCACCGTGGTTGCAGCTACCCAAGGACTACAGCCATTCAAGAAGACAAAAATTAATGCCCCCTGATTCTTGACCCCCTCTAAAAATGGAAAGAGGGCAAACCTATTTACTTGATCTGGGCCTCTGATAATTTTAATCACTGCAATTAAGTCATCCTGAGGCTGCTCTGTTAAAAACAAAATATTTTTGAACTCACTCTCAAGAAGAATCACTGGACCAAAAATGTTAACTCTTTTCTCTTCACAGATGCTGCCAGACCTGATGAGTTTTACAGTAATTTCTATTTTTGTTTCTGATTTCTAGCATCCACAGTTCTTTGTTTAGCCTTGTCTAAAACAAAATCTGTAGTGCGCTTTCCAAAGCAGACACAGAGGAATTGAAACAGAACCAGCAAGTTTCTGAACCTAATCAATACTCAGATTACTGGCCTGGAGTGTTCTTTGATCACTGAAACACTGAATACTTGATGAGCAGCTGACTTTGCAGCTACAGCGAATAATTGGCAAAGGCTGTGCAAGAAGCAAAATTATTTTTTTTTGAGCAAGCAAAAATACAATCGCAGCCAAATTCTACCCACTTCCACTTTTATGATATTTCCTTCAGGTAATAGTGGTAAGTCAGCAGAAACTTACGGAATGCTTGGTACTGCTTACTATGTTTTTTAAATGAAAGCTCAGGTAATGCTAAAAATAGGTTGATGAAAATATTACAGCGTAGTAATGCTACACTGTTTCACATAACAGGTTGAGACTGTGTCACAGGCAAAGGGAGAATGGAGGTGAATTTAAATTATGATTGCTTTTCCTCTTTTAAGCCTAAAATAACAATATTGTTTGTAACCGATACAGCACAGAGCATCATTTCCTTGCCTCAATGCAATGCTTAGAGAATGAAGCAATAATTGTCTTACCTGTTAAGAAAAGCTCTTCTTGTTTCTCTTTTCTTGTTATTTGAGCAAAACTTCTTGCTTTCAACCAATTGGAATCAAATTCACTGACATGCTGGTCAGGCCATACAACTGAAATCTGGAGGAAAATTGTGATAATTAAAAAAACAGATTTGAAAGGAAATCACACTTTCATCTGTCATTGTATTTAGAGCCATACCAATAGCACAAAATATTTATTTTTAAAAAATGTAACTTGTTATATTGGTGCATCAAGGTCTTGTAACGGTTCAAAGTAAAATCTGAGTTTATAATGTGATTTTCCCCCATTAAAAAAAATCAATCATAATTGAACCTTTGTGTAAGGACTTGAATAGAAGCAAACTGCCAATCTCGGAAAGGGATAAAATTAGAGGAATGAATCAGATTAAATTACTTTCAAATGCCGACCTATGGTTTGGCCAATATTTTTTTTTGGTAGACATTTGGGAACAGATTACATGATCTGCTAACTCAAGAAATATTGTAATGTATGAGAAGTACTACTAGAAGATGAGCATTTCAAAATTGAAAAGAATAAAGATGATATCAAATTAATGTTCTAATGAACTTAGCAGGAGGAATTTAATGACCACCCCAAGGGAGTTTGGTGGCAGAGGTGGATATGGGGAGGAAAAGATGGAGACCCTACCACCTTCCTGCCACCACCCTGTTAATCTGTGCCAGGAAAGCCATCTGACACAAATTGAGGCCAAACATAGACACTAATTGTGCAGTTAAGTGTCTCTTCCTGCATGGTTGGCATTAACTGAGTGTCAAATGTTTGCCATGCAGGAACATGACAAGCTAACCCACAGAAGTCCCTTCTGCAAAGACATTCAGTTCCGGATTGACAGACCCAGAGTCAAGGTGGGGCCTTCTGAAAGCTAACCCATTGTTTCTGCTGAAGGACTGTGGGTACAGAAAAATATGAAATTCACAATCAACTTAAGAGCCAATGCATTTTCAGAGATGAATTATAGTCAAAAGTAGATGGAATTTGCAGTGTAATCGGGTAACTGGCAACGACCACACCAAAGAATGGTTGTACTCCATTAGCTACTTACTTATCAGATACATATCTACACATTAGCTTAACTTTACATGAATTTATATTTAATTGTCCTTTTTGGTTAATCATGTAATGGGTGGATTTGGCATGGTTATGTGTACCAATGAGTGAGTAATTTACGCAGAAGATTTTTAAGAGCTCTCATGAGCACATGTGCAGGAGCCTACCAACAAGTGAGAAGAGAGTTAGCTTCAGTGAAGACATACATGTGTGTTCCAGATTGGTAAGGGTCTGTGTTTTTGGCTTACTGAGTTGTGCTTAGGACTTTGACAGTTCCTAAGGCTGTGATTTACAATAAAACCTATTAAATAGTATTAACTTTTCTAGGGTCTTCATTGTAAATTCTAGCGCAAAGGATGAAGCTAAAGAATTAGTCTAACAGGGCGAACTAAAGTGCCAAGGGTAGAAACCTGTTAGCATTAAAGAAATAAGAGTTAATTCTGATTAAGACTATAAATGAAATTAAAATCTCGCATCTGTATTGCTATGTAAACTTTTTTTTACACCATTAGCTAAAATTTACAGGGTTTTGCCTTTTTACAAAGCTTGGATAGATACATTTATTGCAACAGTAAATGAGTCTTCCCAGTATTTTTATTTTATAATTTTTAATCTGTCTGTGACTGAATTACTGAAAATGAGAATTGCTAGATAAGTACCCACTCAGGTAATAAGACTGGACAGGTCAGGGTAGGAGAAAGAATTGGGAAAGATGGGGGAAGAAACAAGAAGGAAAGGCACAGGGAGCTATTGGCATAAATGACATTTAAAAAGTGGAGATAGTTCCCAGATGGAATGCAAAAGAATATTTATACCGGCTTCATAATTCTTCTTCACGCTTGACTATCTGTTGATGTCATGTTTTCTATGATGAAAAGAAGTTATGTTAAATGGTACATAGGCTTCACCAAATTATATTTGCTAGCAACAGCAAGCCTCATAGGAAGGAAGTAATCTATATGGTGCCTGTGAGTGCACTGCAAGTCTTCAGGTGCTGAATATTTTATGTGTAAAAAATCTGCTGTTAAGTATGATATAGTTTTTAGTTGAACTTGTGGAAAAAGATAATGGGGCATCAAAGACATGGTAGAAAATATTTTCTACCTTTATTGCAATAAATCCACTTGTATAAATGTTATTCAGCAAGCAACAGGTTAACAAATACCAACTAAAAGATTTTTGAAACATTTCAGCATTTTTCAGAATATGTTTTGTTGAGAGACCCCAATATTAATATTGAATAATATGTGAGAAGAAAGAGATGTAAATTGTCATTGAGAAAGTAATCTTTTAACTTACTGTTTTCTGTAACATTCATTCAGCATAAACATATTGATATTTTGTAAAGATAACCTCCCTCCTACCTGTAAATGAAAATTCCAAGTCACAGCCATCGCATTGCATCCAAGGAAGGACACTTCTGCCATGGGTAATATTTACATTAGTGCCGTCAGAGGAATACTAAACTCACGGTTTAGAGTATAGTTTAGGAAAATTGATTGACTGATCTCAGGGTTCAATCATAATTTTAATGAAGCTCAACCATGTCAAAGCAATTCCGTTTTTTCACTATTTTCAAATTTTTGCTTTCAACCTTTGTTGGTAGGATAAGATCTTGTTCCTGCTGTAAGATTACAAAAAATATAGTGCAGAGAAAAGAAATTATAAGACTACCAAAAATTACTGCTCACTCCATTCCATTTTGTAGGAGCAAATGTGAAGTAAACAGGGATAAAGCAGTATGATAAAGCAGCAAAAATAAAAGTAATAGTGCTACTGATATTGTAAATTAGCAGACAAATAGTGGTGAAAATAAATGACTATAATTAGCTACCCAATAGTTTTGTCTTCAAAAAGTCTCATTTAAAAACTTGAACTACATATTTACACAAATTGGTTTCTACAAAATTAAGCAGAGGCCCATTTATTCCTCAGGCCATTAAACATTTAAGTGGCCTTGTAGTTATCATTGCCATGACTTTCAAGTCTCAATAAACAAGAATAAAGTTCAAATCCTAGTCATCAATTACATTGACACAAATGACCCTGGTTTCACAACCCCTAGGCCAGATTTTATATTCTGGCTCACTTCTTGCCAAGTATTACTGTTTAATAAGTAACATTTTGTGGCTTTAAAATCTTTCTGCTTTTATTTTTGAGAAGTTTAAAGATTTTCATATAATGGTTCTTTGAAAAAGATAACTAACTTAGCTATTATTGTCTTTCACTTTCAGGTGACGTTATTTTGTTGCCTGTAATTATGTGTAACGTTCAATGTGCTCACCTGCCTCGACCTGGAGAGAACATTTCAGGAAAATAGAATTGACATTGTGTTTACAAATACTTACATGAGCTAACTTTTATTATTCTAAACAAAATGACATTGTTTTAGAAGAGTTAAGATATATGAATCACTGCCCAGAAGTCACTGTACATATGAGATAATTAAAGATTATTGGAGGTTTCAGTTATTTTTCTGAACCCTGCAACTTTTCAAATTCTGCCAGGATAAAGAGAGTGCTTTTTAGAAATAGCAGAAAAATATGCATCAAATTTGAAAATGACTTCCACTGGATCTGGCACACCCATATATAATCTAAAAAGAATAATACACACAATCAGGCTGTTGTGTATTATAGAATCATAGAATCCCTACAGTGTGGAAACAGGCCCTTCAGCCCAACAAGTCCACACTGAACCTCAGAGCATCCCACCCAGACCCATCCCCCTATAACCCACCTAACCTACACCTCCCTGAACACTACAGGCAATTTAGCACAGCCAATCAACCTAACCTACACATCTTTGGACTATGGGAGGAAACCCACACAGACACAGGGAGAATGTGCAAACTCCACACAGAAAGTCACCTGAGGCTGGAATCAAACCTGGGTCCCTAGTGCTGTGAGGCAGCAGTGCTAACCACTGCGCCACCGATTATCTCAATTACTTATGCTATTGTGATATCATTCTATGTTACTATGGATTTGTAAAGAAAAATTTCAATTTTATCCCTTAAATAGGTTAAAATGATGAAGAGTATTCTACATCTCATGACAATTTGTTGCACATTAATATGGTAACAAAAAGTTAATCACAGTAAGTCGATCTTTTATGACGCAATAAGTGGTTCCAGATTAATACGTAGATAGATAATTTAGTCTGGAAATAGTAGTTTACAAACACTCTATTGAGAATCGTTCAAGGTACCTTTGCATCAGTCGAAATGACTTTATCTGCAGAAATGTTCATATCCAAATCTTCTATGGGAAGCTTTCTTGCTTTAGCTGAAGGCAGGAAGCACTGGGGACATTGGCAGTTATCCCTTAACCACACATAAGGATACTGGCTGTGGTTTCCATCATCCCAGTGAACAGTGATGCATCGCTGTTTATCAACGGCCTCTACTTTTTTGATAGTTGAAATTGGAATACTTATTTTAAAAGCTGTGGGTGTGTGGTGTCTGTAACCTTGAAGAGAAACTTCTTGTTTGAGACGATACAGAGCATTCTGTCCAGCTGGTAGGCTTTGCATTCTGTTTCCAAATATTATGCTGTTGAGCAAATATTTTGTAATTGAACGCCACATTTTTGCAGTCACTACTTTTCAAAAAATGGCAGTTGCCTTTGATCCTTAATCTTCACTGTGAATGCTTAAAGCAGGATGTCTACAGTCCATTCAAAATTCAGTGGTGCTTCTATAAATCTAAACACAATTAAGAAAAGTTAATTACCATTGTAAATGATGTGAAAGCAGTTTAGGCACACATGAACTACCCCATGATCAAACGAAATATCTCAATTTACGGGAATTGATCCTAAATTTTCAAAGGCTTCTATAGGCAAAGTCTATGAAGAACATAATTATAGAAAAACGTATAGTTTATTTTCATTACTGTGTATTAAAAATTCTAAATATTAAAATCACAACTTTTCTGAATTACCAAGAATGAGAAATTAAAATTTATGTTTCCTTTAAAACTCAAATAATCCAAGCAACGAACTGTAATTACTTATTACAAAAATCTACATTTGAGATTATGGAGCAAGAATATAAATTTCACAGGGATATGAGCAATGTTCAAGGACAGCCAAAATGTTCTCACACCATATTAGAACTGAATGTTTTACAGATGTCCAAGACATCCACCAGTCATCGCTGTCCAAGTCGCCATCCTTTCACCACCATTCTGCAATTTATCAGATAATTTGATTTGATTTATTATTGTCACACACCAAGATACAGTGAAAAGTATTGTTTTGTGCGCTAACCAAACATATCATACCTTACGTAAGTACATCAGGGTAATAACACAGAACACAGAATAAAGTGTTACAGCTACAGAGAAGGTGCAGAGAAAGATCAACTCTATTCATGAGAGATCCATTCATAAGTCTGATAACAGTGGGAAGAAGAGGTCTTTGATTATGTTGGCTGCTTTCCTGAGGCAGTGGCAGGTGTCAATGGAGTTAATAGAAGGAAGGCTGGTTTTCGTGATAACAAGGTGCAGGGCTGAATGAACACAGCAAGCTAAGCAGCATCATAGGAGCAGAGAGGCTGACGTTTCGGGCCTAGATCCTTCATCAGAAAAGGGGGAGGGGAAGGGGGTTCTGAAATAAATAGGGAGAGAGTGGGAGACGGATAGAAGATGGATAGAGGAGAGGAAACAAACAGCTACCTAGAATACTCCTCCACCCACCCACCTTCCTGCAAAAACGCTATCCCCTATTCCCAATTCCTTCGCCTCCGCCACATCTGCTCCCAGGATGAGGCATTCCACTCCCGTACATCTCAGTGGTCCTCGTTTTTCAAGGACCGTAACATCCCCCCCTCAGTGGTCGAGAACGCCCTCAACCGTGTCTCCCACATCTGCCGCAACTCATCCCTCACACCCCGTCCACGCAATAAGAACCAAAAAAGAATCCCCCTCGTCCTCACGTACCACCCCACCAACCTCCGGATCCAACGCATCATCCTCCGACACTTCCGCCATCTGCAATCTGACCCCACCACCAAAGACATCTTTCTCTCCCCACCCTTATCTGCTTTCCGGAGGGACCACTCTCTCCGTGACTCCCTTGTCCGCTCCACACTCCCCTCCAGCTCCACCACACCCGGCGCTTTTCCCTGCAACCGCAGGAAGTGCTACACCTGCCCCCATACCTCCTCCCTCACCCCCATCCCAGGCCCCAAGAAGACTTTCCACATCAAGCAGATGTTCACCTGCACATCTGCCAATGTGGTATACTGCATCCGCTGTACCCGGTGTGGCTTCCTCTACATCGGGGAAACCAAGCGGAGACTCGGGAACCGCTTTGCAGAACACCTACGCTCGGTTCGCAATAAACAACTGCACCTCCCAGTCGCAAACCATTTCAACTCCCCCTCCCATTCCTCAGACGACATGTCCATCCTGGGCCTCCTGCAGTGCCACAACGATGCCACCCGAAGGTTGCAGGAACAGCAACTCATATTCCGCTTGGGAACCCTGCAGCCCAATGGTATCAATGTGGATTTCACAAGTTTCAAAATCTCCCCTCCCCCCACTGCATCCCAAAACCAGTCCAGCTCGTCCCTGCCTCCCTAACCGGTTCTTCCTCCCACCTATCCCCTCCTCCCACCTCAAGCCGCACCTCCATCTCCTACCGACCAACCTCATCCCGCCCCCTTGACCTGTCCGTCCTCCCTGGACTGACCTATCCCCTCCCTAACTCCCCACCTACACTCACCTTTACTGGCCCCATCCCCGCCTCTTCGACCTGTTTGTTTCCTCTCCACCTATCCTCTCCTCTATCCCTCTTCTATCCGCCTCCGACTCTCTCCCTATTTATTTCAAAACCTCCTTCCCCTCCCCCTTTTCTGATGAAGGGTCTAGGCCCGAAACGTCAGCCTCTCTGCTCCTATGATGCTGCTTGGCCTGCTGTGTTCATCCAGCCCTGCACCTTGTTGTCCCAGTCTTCAGCCAGTTTGATTCACTCCACGGGATATCAAGAAACAGTTGGAGGCACTGGATACTGCAAAGGCTATGGGCCTTGACAACATTCCGGCAATAGTACTGAGGACTGGTGCACCAGAATTTACCACTACCCTAAACACGCTGTTCCAGTACAGTTACAACACTGGCATCTACCTGACAATGTGGAAAATTGCCCAAATATGTCATGTACTTAAAAAGCAGGACAAATCCAACCCAGCCAATTGCCACCCCATCAGTCGACTGTCAATCATCAGTAAAGTGATGGAAGTTGTCATCAACAGTGCTACCAAGCAGCACCTGCTTAGCATCTACTGGAACAACATACTGTTACAATTTTGTTTTATTCAGGAATAGTTAGTAGTAAGAGGGGAATTGTTTGGTTTGTAGTAGTTCTGTAATTTATTAACTGTTAGAGTGAGATAAATAAATTGCTACTTGTTGATTGTAGAGTGACTGTCAGGAGTTCATTTTATTTCACCACTCCTTTATAACAGATGGGGAGGTGACAGGCAGGTTATACCACTTTTCACATTTCCAGATTACGAGGCGAGGCAAGCTTTTTTGAGTGTTTCGGTTTTAATTACCAGAGAGGGATCGACCTCTACTCCAGAACAGTTATAATCAGTCGTAAATTTTCCAAAGTCATCGGCACTTCTCAGCAACAAAATAATGATACAATCTATTGCCAACCTGCATAACCATGAATGATGGGGAGTGATATACAATATCACTCAGCAGCTTTGGCTAAGAACAATCTCTCCATTCTAACCAGTAGCACAACAATCGTCTTGATTGCCTTGCAGATTGTCTAGACTAGATGTATAAATGAATTAGTTCAAAAGTTGTTCTCAGCTAAATTATCACTCCTCCTATTTTCAAAGCTCCTCACTCCCACCAGCCTTAGTAGATTTGGCAACAAACATTATTTATGTTTCTCATTCCAACTCCCACAACCTAGGTTTCAAGCTCTGCATAAGCATCATGGAAAGGAAATCTGGCGACTTTAATTTTTTCAGGTGACAATCTGGTGAAAATGGTTCTCTCATCCTTAACTTACAGGATAGACTACACCTCAAAGATGGTATGGAATTTCAGGCCTAATCTCTTTTGACTGGAAGGCTAAACATTGTTGCAATATACAAGTAAAACTCAAGAATTTTAAAATGTTACTAAATTAACCATTAACAAAATGTTAACCTAGTTTGTGATTAATCAGGTCAGCAAGAAATTTACTGTGTGCTGTCATGAAAACATCAGTAAAGAATCAAGCTAACTAGCTCTACAGAAATCCTTTAAACCTTTCCATAACTATTATTTAATCAGAGGTTTCATGACTAGCTACTGAGGGTGTGGCCGAATGTTGTGCAGTAACTGAGAGTTTTCATACAGGACAAACATGGCAGGCTGTCTGAAGCTTTTTTAAAAACATTTTTCCTATTACATTACTGCAGTAGAACAATCACAAATTATATTCTCAACTATATATTAATATCTAACAGTCTATTATGAATTTTCCTGCTATCCTGTTTCGGCTCATCAAACAGTACTCCCTTTGAGCATCATTTGGAAATAATACTAAGGATTAGAAGGGCATAGAATGTACTCTGGGTGAAGGGCTGCAATGTCCACGACAAGAGTGGCTTGTTGTCGTCCCTATTGTCTGAGACATTTCAGCCAGGTATCATCTGCAGATGATGTGAGAATCAGGAAGTGGAAACCGACTTGACCTGGCCTCAATCTTTTTGTTGCAGATGCTTCTGTTCATGAAAGTATTTGTAGCAGTAATGGCTGCATATTCATTGTGCAGTTACCAAAGTCCAATCTTCATAATGTGGACACACTCTATTATATTGTGTGGGATTACCACTGTATTAAATGGAATATATTTTGAAAATATCCAGAAACTCAAAGCTAAGAATTCATAAGGAACTGTGGACCATTAATAGCAACAGAATTGTATTCAATCACTATGTGTAATCTCATGGCACAGCATATGACTAAAGTTAGATTTGAACAATTAGTATTCTCATCAGAAACCTCATAATCTCAGGTTAGTCTTTCACCACTAGACTGTCATTGCTTGATACTGATTGACTTGCATCGTCCAGTTGTTGCCAAGATTCTCCCTTCTTCTCTGATCCACATCAGCTCCATGGTGCATAACAAATAAATTTCTCCCTCACCACAGGCCAAAATAAAATAATCAGCAATAATTTAATACACTGTTTACTTCTCTCTTGAAGAGATTAAACATATTGCTATCACTGAGCATATTAGCAGTTATTCTGAACAAGTTTGTTCTTGTTTCATGGGATGTAAGTATTGCTGGCTAGGTCAACATTTATTTCCCCATTTCTAATTACACCTTAGAGGCTGGTGTTAAACAGAGTTCCCTCTAATTTTTATACTGGCTACACAGAACTCCAATGCTCATACGTGGCAGCGACTTCCGTTAATGCTGCGATTGGTACGCTGATGCCAACCACC